GTATGGGAGACACCCAGCAAGTCCGCAAGCTCTCGCGATGTTTGCCGGTTGTTGGCCTCCAGTGCCTCCTGCAAGGCAGAGTTATCAAACTCCGAAGGACGACCGGTGCGTGGCTGGTCTTCCAGGCTTTCATTTCCTTTCTGGAAGCGACTGTACCAATCATAGGCAGTGCTCTTGGACACAGTGTCCGGGCCAAACGCGGTATCGATGTCAGCGATGGAATTGGCTGCCTTCTTCTCGATTCGGAAGTCATAAAGAAGAAGCAGGCGAACTTGCTCCTTAGTAAGAGGGTAGGGCTGGTTCATGGCTGGAGAGCACCAGGGCTGTAATAATATACGGGTGTATGCCGAACGACACGACCTACTTATAAACACACGCAGAACATTCTAGCATGCTCTGGAAAAAATTGTACTGGATATTCAAGAAATTCCGAGAACTTTCTTTCCATTTTCATTTAGGATGAGGTGGATGACTGGATATTGTATTGTCCTGGAATTGTTTTCACTTCAGTAAAAGGTCATCCTCAGGAAAACTACTTCATTAAGTTTCAGGGAAAACTTTTGAGAAATGTTGTTATTGGAGCACCACCACCCTGTCAACATGGTTATTGTTATTCATGCATTTTTAAATGCATTAAATGCGAGAGTATCTCATTCAAGTTGCTTCCTTTATTAGTATTATTCGATGGCCAATATCCGATTCAGCACCTTAAGATTATGTGATACAAAAATCAAGGATGTACCACGAGGCTAAATCCATTCTTGGGATCCTTGTTTCGGCATGAGGACAGTAGGAAACTCTCAGTCTATGCTAGTGCATCTAACGTGGATAGATTCATTTCTAGAAGGGAAGGCGTTAAACAGTTCATGAAGAGGAGACGTACGGTTGAAGTAACTGACAAAGTATGTATTTGTGAACATTTTCGGTGAAAACTAACTGTCATATGACTGATGAATTTTAAAAATAAGCCTTATAATAACTGCAGCGTCATCGACAAAGAATAGACATCATGTGAAACAAAATTAGAAAAGCTTGACGGCAGATTGAAAAGTATCACAAATAGGAGAGAAAAAGAATTGTGCATAATAATTAAGTTAATGAAGCGTTCATTTGCGCAAACACAGGAAATCGATGCATGCTTAGACTCCATTGGATTTTGATAGTTCAACCCTATGACATTAATGGTTCGCAATCCACCAAAATGTGTCAGCACTTAAGGAGAATGCAAATCTAACCCCATCCTTTTTACTATTAGGATTTTCAATTTTTTAAGTTTCAGGATTTTTTATTTACAGTGGCGCGGAACAGGTTCAATTTCTCTCGGTTCAAGTATTCGGGAGTTCTATTCGTTATCCCGTCAGAAAACGCGTCTATCATTCAAAATATCAAGAAGAATCACTAGCAAACGACATGGCGATTTTGATTCTTGAGAGGCCAGTGGAACTAAATGAAGAGGCATGTATTCTTTGCACCCTGGATTTTCAGGGACATCAGGACTTCTCTCGGTGCAGACTTATCAGTCACATGAAAGGTACTCGCTTCTGGTAAAAAGGCTTCGTTATTTCCATTCTATGACATTGACCATATGATGGCGGTTTTCTTTCTTAGATGGAGACCGGCTGATCCCGATACCTGACACGGTAAGCTATTCCGCTTCGGTTGTTGATGCTAACATTTGTAAGGAGAAAGACTCGAGGGGCAGTGACCTCCCACTGGATTCCCTCTGCGTCACCTTCTCCTCCACCTGGTGTGGGGAACCAGGTGCCTCTCTCATCTGCAAAGACTCTAACTATGGTTTCTATAGGGTAGGCCATGTTTGGGGCTGCTCACATCCTTGCATGGAGTGCAATTTTTTGCTGGATTGAATTTTAGGCATGAAATTTACTTATAGTTGACTGGCCATTTGTCTCTCCCAACTGGGACATGTCACAGCAAGAGCGAGCCTGCGATCTTTTCCAATGCTGCCTCCCATTCATCAGCGACATTCCATGGGGAAACTTATTCCTCAAACTTTCCTTCCACAAATGGCTCTCGTCCATATCAACACTCTCATCAGAACTCAGAAGGTAACTAAAAAATAGACTGGCATGCCTTAATCGGAAAAGTAATGTGTACAGAGTGGCCCAAATGTCGAACACCATAGGGGATTTCTCTCTCGAACTATAAGATCTTTATTTTCAAGTAAATTATGGCTGCAACATGAACAAAAGACAAGAGGTGTAATTAATAATCATGAAGGGAATAATTAGAATAATATTTATAATAATAATTATTATTATTTTAAGAATTAATATAGCCCAATTGTGAAATCCCCTATGGTTCTCAACTTCTGGACCACCCTATACATTTTTCAGTTCCAAAAAGTATGACTTCCCCTTCTGGGACGCCGTGGTGGATTATTACATCCATTTCCACACTCTTCTGGCATTGCAATACCCGCGAAGTACCTGTAACACTGTGATGTTTTGCAGTTTGCCGATGAGAGGGGTTCTCCAAAACTTGTAATAATTGAAGTTGGAATCCATATGATAGTATCTTGCCCAAATGGAAGTTGAGAAATATAAATTCCACGTGCACACAAATTCACCAATAGGCTCAACGCAACTCCTAACAGGTGCAGCGCAATAGATTATAAAGGCAGGTTCTGGCTACGAAATTGGAGAAAAATCTCCAGTACCGACCGTACAAATCTCATTGAAGCCTTCCAAAAATGAAAATATGTCAACGGAACCCGTGTCGTATACGCATGCAATCAAAACTTTAACAAATGAGCGGAGCAACCTCACTTACACGTAATCCAGATGTACAGTGGACAGGAGAATTCCTGAAACTGTTTCAATTAAGGATTGGATTTTTCCCCTAGCCATATAGCACAATATTCGAATCAGCCATGGCACACTTGGAATTTTGTTTTGTCTTCTTGCCAAAAATTGGGATAATCCATATCAATTGTCATTGATACCATATCGATATATGTTGTTTTCGTACCATCCAGAGAATCAATAAAATATACTACGACAATACGGGAATTTCAAGAGCAGGCGCTTAGTCAAGGCGCTTTGTGGGACCATCTTGAAAGTTCTCCATATGACTCGAAACCAACCCAGTCTATCTCGTTGCGATGGAAATCCAATCCAAACGCTGCCATACAATTGACAGAAGGGGATTGATGCCAAACGGTACCTATTTCCTTGAGCAGGGTAGTGCGCATGCTCCAGACCGAAAGTGACAGTGCCATTTCGCACTTATTCCTTTTGGTCGAAGAATTTAAGATCATCAAGGTCACTTCGCAAAAGCCAAAGAATAAGCATGAGACTTTTATTCATGGAATAGCTCCTCTATTGCCCCATTCTGCAACATGTGCATATGTTTTTCTTAATAATAGCCAATAGAGACTTCAAGTAGGTTTTTCGGCAGCAACCGGCTGTAAAAGGATATCAAAGGTTATGCATAGGCAGTTGGTAGGAAAGTGCAAGACTTATGGCTTCAAGTTATGAATTTTCCTCCAAACACGATGGACTGGACAAATGCATACCATGCTCTACCTCAATTGTCGGGAGGCCTGAGGAGGAAACAAATTGATGAGGTTGGGTATATTTTTCGTCAAACAGGGGCTTAATCCTTTTCCTGAACTACCCTTGTGCTTCGAGGAAACCTGAAAAATCCACGATATAAGACACGTAAATATGCAATATGGGGGCCATAATGAGCTTAAATTTAGGAATATCGCTAATTGAAAAATTCAAGCCTCAATTGAAACTTGTTCTGAAAATGAAAATGGTTAGTTCCCTTTTCATTTTCTTGTGCAAGTGATGGCATGCCGGTATATTGCTCCATATGCAACTTTTATTTCCTAGAATGCGGGGAAAGAGTGAGGCTGATGACGCGCGCAGCTGGCGCAAGGCCCACGGCCATTGGAAAGTGGCCATGGCAGGCAGCTATTTATGACTTCGAAAAGAAACTTATAACCTGTGGAGCGGCTCTCATTCACAAGAGATGGGTCCTCACTGCGGCGCATTGTATCACCCAAGATGGAACGGCGAAACCCCGCAGCAGGGATGTCTTTCTGATCTATCTTGGGAAACACTATCGAAATGACTCACGGGATGATGAGTTCGTGCAGAAAAAGAAAGTAATCAATGAACCCTCTGACATCCCCCTCACCGACTCATATCCGTTTCAAATGTATAAATGTTCTTCTTGCAGATATCACACATCCTCGTCCATGAAGACTTCAACTTACAGAACTACAACTCCAATATCGCACTCTTGGAGCTGGCAGAAGACGCCACGTTAACAGAACGAGTGCAGTTGGTTTGTCTGCCAGAACACTCGGATATATCTGATACTAGCTCCAAGAGCGGATTGCTAGGATCGGTGAGACAATAAGGATTCTGTACGTATATGTGAAGTAGACTTTTGTTTCATGGACTTACCCAAATGGTTCGTGGCAGGTGGCTTTTTGGGGATCCGACGACACAGATGCCCTCCCAGATGAACTGTTGGAAGCGGAACTCCCAATTATACCCAATAAAGAATGTCGTCAAGACACTATCCACTTCGCAGGGAACTCCACCGTCACTCGTACCCTCACTACGAACTTGTATTGTGCTGGGCAGGACGAAAACACTCCCATTTCAGGTACCGTCAGAGCGTAAGCTTCCTGATTTATTGGAAATTTCATTGCAACTAGATCCTACAGGGAATTGCCTCCGTGACGGCGCTCTTTCCCGGCATACACTGAGTTCAGTAAGAAGGTAAAGAAATAGGCTTTTTAATCATTATATCATACATTATGTTTTTCTGTTCTATTCTTCAATACTTTCGACCCTGATGATTTGATCGTGCCATGGGCGTAGCATGTCATATGCCGGCTCTAGGGCTCGAAGTGCTAGACTCTTCAGACCCAGCATGCATACAGACTCCGTATTGGGGGATTTAACTCATATCATGGCAAGGTAAAATACGACTGGACCCCGACAAGTGGTGTCCCTTGGACCTCATATTATTTTAGTTCTATACAGTAGAATTGGAAAGCAGAAGGTGAAAACATGCTTTTCACGAAGAGAATCTTTCCTTTTTTTATTCCGATGCATTTCAAAGGAATGTAACATTATTTAGTATATTTACGAGGGTCACTCAATAAGTTATCCACCTGAATAAGAAAGAAACATCCGAGGGGAAAAATAACACTTTATTTTT